TTTGCGGGTTTTCGGCTTGCTTGGGGGACGTGCTCCCCATCTGTGGGGACAGCAGAAGAGAAGTCCTCGCCTTGGGGAGCAGCCCTCCTGGGTGAGGTTTGGGTGCAGTTGGTGGGAGGGTGGGAAAGGGGGGGAGATGGTGTCCTTCAAACTCAAACCCTGCAAACCCCCTTGGCTTGCCCCACTGAGGCTGCTTAATTTATTGTTAACTGCTGGGAAATGGGGAGGGAGGAAGACTTTGCAAGTTCCTTGGTGTGGGGCCTGGATGCTGGTCTCCTCTCCTTCCAAAAGAGTGCCTTCACCCTTTGTCCCCTTCCCTAGCTCCCTGGGCAATGGTTTGGGGTTTTTTTGTTTTGTTTTGTTTTTTTTAAGTAGCTTAGACATCAGACTAGATTTTACAAAATACATTTGAATGTGCTGCTATAGTCTGAAATGCATCTTCACTCCTCCAAGGCAGGGATCTCGGATCACATTCAGGAGGGGGGCTGCGTTGGGTTATTATCTCCTGGGTCTGGGTCCGAGTTGTATCCTCAAAATAGGGTGGAAAATTTTGCTGCGCACTTGAGTTGAAAAGCAATTGCATTTTTGTATTGTTGTTGTTGATCCTGTCTGTTTAGGTTTTTTTTATAAAAGGTGTTTAAAAAAAAAAAAAAATAATGCTGCTTTTCTAAGAGAAAAACCATTAAAGAGTAGAATTGTATTAACCAGGAGAAGCCAGAGAGACTCTGCAGGTATATGGGAGGCAGACTTGCTGCTCACTGAGCTCTGGACATGTGGATCTGTGGCTGTTGTCCTCCCATGGGGGATGTGGAAAAGGAGGTAGAAAAATCTTCCTTTTTGGTAGAAATCTTCCTTTTTGGATGCCACTAGAAACAAAAGTCTTATCAGGTGGAAAAAAGATGGGGCTGCTGTTCTTCCACTGGCCTGATTTGTCAAGAAGAGCCGTCTGCCGCTGACTCCTGCTAGCAGGAGGGCTGGGGAGCACAGAGCCTGTCTGTACAAAAAGATATTTTTTTTTTTTATATATATATAAATGAGTTTTAATTTAAGAGTAAACTGGTTTGATGTTCACACGCAGGAGTCCCGCTGCTGGGAGAATCAGAGGACAGTATGATGTTGCAATAAAAGTATTTTAAACAAATGTGAATGCTTCAAGGGTTTCCCTTTGCGATCTCTGCGCTGTGCCTCGGGCTGCCCAGGGGAGACCTCGGTCTCTCCATCCCTCAAGGGTCTCCAAACAGCTCTGGGGTGGGACCCCATCAACTGGGGGATCCCCTTGAGCTGCTCCTGGAGGCTCCAGCCCTGTGTTTCCTGGGGTTACAAGAGCAGGATGAGGTGGGGAGCGGGCGGGCAGGACACCCCCAGCCAGCTCCAACCCCGCTGGGAGGTGCAGGGGAGATGCTGCAGCGGCTGAGGGATGTGTTGTGCTCGGTGAGGCCCTGGGGCAGCTCATGGATGGTGGTGGATGAACATGGAAGTGAACATGGGTGAGGTTCCTGCTTGCAGAGCAGCTGCTGGAAAAGAGGCAGCGACTTTTCCCCCCAAGCAGCTTTGATGCCTCCTCCTCACCGATCAATCGGTGCTGCAGGAGCTCCGGCAGCGCTGCAGGGTGCTGAGCGTGTGCTGGATGTGCTGTGTGAGCCCCGGCTATCGCTCGTTCTCATCAGCTTCTGGCTTCTTTAAAGAAAGGAGATAAAATCAGGAAGCCAAGGAAAAGGTGCTGCAGTGTGCAACCAGCCCGGGTGGCCGGGCTTTGCATGCTGCTCCGCTTCACGTGGCTTCTGCTGTCACAGGAGAAGGTGCCAGCTCTAGAGAGAAGCAAAGAGAAGAGCTGGCTGCTGTAGGAAGCTTTGGGGGCTTTTCTCCACGGGCTGCACCAGCAGGACTTTGGGCTGGTCTCAAGGACAAGACCAGGGACTTGCAATGCCCAAACCTTGCAGCATCACATCAGCGATTCCCCAGGGTAAGTGTGGTGCCTCGTGGGACACGGGAGGAAAAGCCCAGGCTGGGTTTTCCAGCAGAGGTGGCACGTGTGCATGGGCAGGTTCACGTGGGTGCAGTGGCCAACCAAGGACAGCAGCCCCACAGTTTCACCCACCTTGCCAAGTAGAGGCACCCCCAGAGGGGCAGCGGAGGAGTTTCAGGAGAATCCCTGGGGAAGGGGGATGGCTGGTGGTGTTTTGGAAGCAGAATGGTGGTGGAAAAGCCAGGGTGGCAGTGGTGAGGCTGGTGATGGTGCCAGGGAGGAAGGAGGGCCCAGGCTGCTGCCAGCCCCTGCACAGAGAGGGGCTCTCAGGAGCATTTTTCCCCCCTGTGCTGCCCCCCAGAGCTTCCCTCTCCGCCCCCAGCACTGCAGGGCTGCTCTCGCCCGCACCTCTGCCCACAGCCACACACACACTCCCCAGCCCAGCTCCTGCCTGGTGACAACCAAGCTCCTGGGGAAACCTTCAAGCACCAACAACAGCAGTTTCCCCCCTGCCCCGACCCCCAAGAGCAGTTTTGGGCTCTGGGAACAGTCTGGGGGGGGTCGCAGCCCTGTCCCCCCTTTGCCCAACCATGCAAGGAAGGCAGGGGGGGCTGCACAGGGGTCCCACCTCCCTTTGCAATTTGAGGACAGCACTGGTGGCACAGACTCCATCTGCAGATCTGTGAGAAGCCCGGGGCTAGTGGCTTTGCTCTGCCACCTCCTGGGGACAGGACAAAGTGGGCAGGGGACAGGGAAGGACCACGCAGGGATGTGACCACAGAGGGATGCAGCTGCAGGGTGACGGACACGGCTGGGGTTTTATTTTCCAATACAGGAACAAGCAAAACCCTCCCGGGTGCTGGTGGCAGCAGGTTCCTGGGTGGGACAGGGGCTGCCCTGCCCCATGACAAGCAGTGCAGAGAGCACAGTCCAGCTCGAGGGGTGCAGCCCACCGCCAGCACCCGCTCGGAGCAGCAGGATCCCAGGATGGATGCTCCCACACTGGACTCCCAACAGCATCCGGCAGCATCAAGGAGCAGGTCAGGCTGCAGCTTTTCCTTGCCTCTCCCTGCTCATTCCATGGCCAC